GGCGGGCAGGGGAGCAGCCAGGGCAGGAAGGAAGGGCGAGGATTTGGGCACCGCCACGGGGGTGCCAGCCCGTCCTGCCTGTCCCGCGCGACGTCCCGGTGCCTCGGGTCTGCGGCCCCGTCCCTGCTGGACAGCTCTGGGGCATGGAAATGTTATACCCCAGACCCAGGAAGAAGCAGCCCGGAGCCGGGCTGCGCAGGGGCTTTGGCAGTCCGACAGGGCCCACACCTGTGCTCGCTCCCCTGGATTGAGATCCTTGGGTTTTCTTCCTTCCCCCCTCCCACAGAAGTAGGGCCCAAATGGAGCGGCTTGTGATGGGTTGTCTGCACAGAGGCGGTAGCAGTGCAGAGGGGAGCACTGGTTCTTCCTGGAGGCCTGCAACAGGTCCCTGCAGAAAGGCAGCCGGAGGGGGAACTGCTGGGCAGGGTCTGAGCCTGCAGCGGGAGCTCAGAAAGGCTGAGATACGTTACGTGCCAGATTGTATGGGACGTTGCTAGAGCACCTGACGCGGAGCTCAGCAGTGTGCAAACGCGAAGTACATTGGCTGGAAGGGCAGGCAGGACTGGAACCAGGAGCTCTGCGAGCGCAGGGCTCCACACTGACCTGGGGCAGGGAGCTGAGGGAGGGGGGAGTCACTGGTCTCGGGTTTCAGAGGCTTTTGCCAGGCCTTCCTGCCTGGTTGTACAGTGAGCAAGCCTGCCTCAGCAAATGTGTGTTCCGAGACTTACTTCTTGGGGGACAGCCTGGCCAAGGAGACCAACAAACATGGACAGAGAAGGAGACGGGAAACTGGGCTATACAGGCTCCCAGGGCACTTTCCTCAGCCCTCCAAAACCACTTGCCTGCTATTATTGGTCTCCCAGAAATGCCAGCGCAATTGATGATATTTTCTGTCATGCCACTGATGCCAGTTTCATCCCTTTCCTCATGCCCATGAAACAGCTGGCTCTGTCTTATCAACAGATAATGGTAAAGGGAAGGAGCTCGACTCCAAATCTGCCACTCGCCCCTCCCTGACCTTGCAAAAGGCTAGAAAGTCTCAGTTTTCCAGTTTGAGAAAGAGGGTATGAAGGAGACCTGTTTCCGTGCGACACAGGGATGTGTTAGTGAACCACAGGGAAGGAGGCATGCAGGCACCTGCAGCTCTGGGCAGCAGTACACCTAGCTGAGCCCGCTCAGTGTCAGCATCAAGGACCCAAGCGCAGCCTGCAGCTACGTGCTGACCTGCAGGGAGGGCCGATGCCATTTTTTTTGGTCACAGAGAAAGGCCGCACCATCGTTGTTGCAACCACCAGCTCCCTTCCTGTCCCATTCCCAGGCGCTGTCCCCTACCTTGTGGTGTTTCTCGCTGGCATGCAGGTACAGGTGTTGGCTTCCCGAGGAGCTGGCACTGCTTTGTGGTGGGAGGGTGCCTCCACCCGGCTGGGACTGCAGGGAGAGAAAGCAGGCACTAAGCCCTGGGTGCTTAGTGCTTTCCTCAGTTTCCAGGAGTGAATATCCACCTCCCAGTACAGCTCGCAGGGGAAGAACCTCCTCCCAGTTCTGGGAAGGCAGCGTTGCTCCTTCTCTGGAGAAGAGGGGATGGCCAGGCAACAGGAGGGCTATAGTGTACGTGTGAATAAGGGTGTGCATACAATCTCCTTCTGTTCTGACCAGCAAAGAGAACAGCAAATCACGGGACCTTCCTGCTCTATGCAGGTAGAAACCTTGTGGAAGGGGAGGTGGGGGTCCCCATCTATTCTATGTGGGCTTCTGCCCACATTTTCATGCCTCTACTATACTCACATAAGAAATGAAGTTCTTGTTCCCCCAGTCATTTTCCAATGGCTTTTCTGGATTGTTTGAGGCTCGGACAGGCTCTGGGCCCTTCCAGTCATCTTCCAACCACTGCGCTGGACTCTCAGGCCTTCTCCAGCTGTTGTCTGGCCGTGGTCCTGCATTCACACACCTAGCGGGGCTCCTCCACTCCCTCTCCAGGTGGTGCATCAAATCGGCATGGCACATGGGCTTCTCTTGATGCTTCCAGTCCTTCTCTATCTTCTGGCCATGGTGAACATCTCCGGGACGCTTCCAGTCCTGCTCCTGTGGTCGCACTGGGCTCACTGGGCGCAGGGGCTTGCCTCGGCCTTTCTGGTCGCTGTCTGCACCCTTCCCCGGGCTGGAAGGCTGCAGTTTTTCCCTGAGGGTCTGCCAGCCGCACTCTGCGTGCCTCACAGGGCCCCCAGTGTGCAGCAGCTCTCCTGAGTTCCCCCATTTCCTCTCTGTGCTCTGCACCAGGCTGGCAGGAGCAATCTCCTTTTGGCTTTTCCATGTGCTCTCTGCCTGTCTCCTGGGACTAGCCGATCGCAAGGGCCCTGCTTGGCCAGGCCTGCTGTTATCCGAACTCCTACCGAGGTTCACGGAGTGCAGGGAATCCCCTCGGCTCTTCCTCTCCGGGTGCTTCCCTGTACTCCCAGTCTGCCAGGCAGCTCGGTCTCTTTCTGTGGGCTTCTCCAAACTCGTGGGGTGGCCAGACTCTGCTCGGCCCCTCCAGTCTTTCTCGGAGCGCTGGAGAGGGCTCGCAGCCTGCCCAGGTCTCCTTTCCGATCTGCGAGCCGGGCTTGTGGAGTGCAGGCTTTTGCTGTCCCTTTCCAGCTGCCGAACGGGGCTTGTGGACTCTCTTGGTCTCCGCCAGTCCCTCTCTGCCCGTGTTGCTGGGCTCCTGGGGTGCAGGAGATCCCCGCGGCTCCTGCTGTTCCTCTCCAGCTGCCAAGCCGGGCTCAGGGAGCGAAGGGAGCCCTTGGGCTCCCTGCTGTGCTGCTCAAGGTGCCGGAATAGCCGCTGGCCCTAGGGACATGGGGAGAGAGAGAAAAGGGTTCTCTAATAATTAAAAAAAAAAAACCCTCAAAAACTAACATCTCGCAGGTGAGAGGGAGCAAGGGAGAAAGAAAAGGTGAGATTAGGACTGGGAGACAGTTTAGTTTAATAGCTCTACAGACGAAAAGCATCACAGCAGTTGAATGCATGTGTGTAGAACCAACACACACCTAAGAAGTCCTCGCTTGTGACTGGGGGAGTGGGCCCAAAGGAAGGGACTGGGATCAGAGGGAAGGAGAGGAGGAAATGAAACAGAAGCATGAGGTAAAAATAGAAAACAAAACAACAACAACAACAAGTGTCAGGAAGAAGCAACCCAGCTTGGAGAGCTGGGCCTGCGCTCTCTAAGCTTTAGTGAGGGTTGGAGTCCCACCATGTGGCAAACTCACCTCTCTGAACAGAGTGGGGCTGGACTGCCTCCGAGCTAGTCGAGCCTTGCTGGGTGGCACAGGGGTCTTCCCATCGAGCCGGTCCACACGGCCTTCCTCCAGGGCCTGGAAAGCCTCCAGAGTCTCCGATTTCCTGCAGGCACACACAGCCCATCCCAGGTGCTGCTTCAAACTGGCTTCCAGGGCCCTGAGGCTTGGAGGCTACAGAGACCTGGTGAGCCAGCTGTGGCTATAGTTCCTACCCCGTCTGAGCCTGACCCCACAGATCTCTGCTTGTGCCAAACACAAGTAGCCCTCTAGCCTCTCTCTTGCTCTGTCTTCATTGCTTTAACCACCCTTGCTTATGTGTCCCACTTTGTCTCCCATGTCGTCTTTCTACTACTGCTTGAGGGAAAACCCAGCTTCCCGCCATCCTGTCCTTCAATCCTGCATCCTGTCCACCCTCCCCAGGACAACTTCCCCCGTCTTCTTCCCATTTACTTCCTGTTCTCCCTTCTTCCCCTGTACCACCAGCTGTTGGCATGTGCTAGAGCCACTTGGGATTCTCAACCCAAAGCCATGCTGTGCCCATATCTGCAAGCAGGAACCAGCTGGCATTGGGGACTGCAAGGCAACCCCAAGTCCTTGGCTGAGTTGCAAGCAAAGCTGCAGGTGAGGCTGAAATCACAGGCTCATCCCACAACCCAGTGGTTTTCTCAAACCTACAGTGGAACTTGGATCCCTGGGGAGTCACTGACACTACGGGAAGGGGAACCACCTCTGGTATTCCTCTTTGCACGGCTATCCCAACCCCATAGCATGTCTTGCAGGTTCTGGGACATGGCTGGGGAAAGGAGGAAGGTGGGCAGCTCCCTCTGCTTCCGCCAGCTCAGCTTAGCTGAACCTTTCCAAAGGCCTCATGTTCGTGCCTGCCACAGGAAGCCTGGCCTGGCCTGAAAGCTCCTCAGAGGGCCCTCATGGAGACAGGGAGGCTGGACATGGACGCAGCCCTACCTTTAAAGAAAACATAAACATAGCTGAAGTATGAATGTGGGCCGGGCCTCCCTGTCTAGCCCATGCTCTCCCCTGAGGCATGGAGACTTGGAGGTCTTGGCAGCATCTGAGGGCAATCCTATGCGTCCACCACATGGGGACCCATCCCACTTCTCACCTGCGCTCACAGCCAAATATCCGCTCTACCTCCACCCGCCCGGGGCTGAGTGTGCGGGAGCTGCTGCGATCGAAGGCCTCCCCGTGGCTGAGGCGTTTGGGCTTGGGCAGGCCGGCCAGCGCCGTGTACTCCTGCCTCTCCATGCCGTGGCGT